GATTACATATTTATACCAAACCTCGGATGATTATACCTGATAGTGCAACAAATGTCATCTAGCTGGTATTTACAGTGTTGATGTTAACGAATGCACTGTTGTTAGAGTAAATTCTAGTTATTTTGAAATTATATGTGGACATAAAACAATCACTGCATATTTCAAGACTGGTGTAACGTCAAAACACCAGCTCTCCCAGGCAGCGGGGATCTGAAACACGCGGCGTAATGTGATCACTCGGAGCAACAACCTGTTTTGAAAATGAGTTTTTTATTTCTCCGCCCAGTTGGTTTTTAACTCTCAGCGTGTCTGTCCCTGCCTGTCACTGATTGACAGGACGAAGAGAGCATCAAGCCATAAAAGTGGAATGCAGGTAACCAGGCTCTCTATTTGAACTTGGAACGCAGGAAAGTGGGTTAAGTGAAGTGAATCTATTGCCTAACAGGGAGCAGCTGCCTGCCAGATTTAGCGGTGGCTGACAGTTGTAAACACACTCTTATCTAGTGATTCAGGAGACACAAGCCTGCCAGAGCAGTTACCCACTGTTGACACGGGTTTCTGTCAGAAGGGGCACACTGAGCACACGGCTTTGTTGATAGCGCTGTTGGTCTGAGGACACTGGAGGCATATTTAACAAATGTTTGGTGCTGATATGCATGCTCATGTTCGACTCTAGGAAAAAAAAAAACAAAACATCCATTTAAATTCAGAAGTTAGTGCAGGATGTTTACAACCCCGGTACCGTTTGCACTGAAAACTGCCTTTCCAACAAGCACTCGCACATGCTAAATATACCCCCTTTAAAAGGCATTCACAGGCCGCCACCTCTCCCTCCTGCTCACACAGACACACAGGCGCACACAGTGAGCTATTGTGTCTGAGAGTTCAGGCATCTGGAGAGCAGAAACCCTCTCGGGTGACCTCTGACCTCTGGTGGCTGAGAGTCACAGACTGACATGGAGGTTTCAGAGAGGCTTTCAGGTGACTCAGAGGGCTGTTAGAGGACTTTTAAAGGAGCATTGTGTGTTGTGTGCAGGGTTTGTTGTGTCTGCAGCTGATTAACGCTGATAAATGATGAGCAACAAACCTGCTATCTTGTGTTATTTTAGCCTGTCTTCCTCAATTTTTACAGTGACTCAGAGTAGCCTAGTAGAGGCGATGTTGAGTTGAGATTTTGTTGCTCACAACAGCAGTGCAGTGTCACATCATATGAACCTTTCAAGTTATTGTCAACCCGTGACGCTGTCCCAGAAACACGGTGACAAGCCTTTTTTTTGACAAGGAGCCAAGACAAACTGGTTGGTAGAGTTCTGCGTTCAGCTGCACAAAGGCCCAACGCTTCAGGGCCTGAAACATTACTGGATATTCATTTACAACGCAGTAGCACTTAGTTGCCCTCTCTGCGCTAGTAATCTGGTGTTTATGTGATTTTTAAGTTGTGCTAGCGGCGAAGGCGATTATTCCTGCTGTGCTTCCTTGTTGGTTGCTGTTTAGGTGAGTGTCAGTGAAGCTGCAGTGTACCCTGTCAAGGTAAACAAATGGCTAACAGAAGCTCCCCTCTACTTGCTGCTGGTGCAGCGCCAGGCCTCCCTGCTAGCTTCGTGTTGCTACGTGTCGCCATGGTGACGCTATCACAAAGGACTCCAGCTGGTTCTCTGTGCGTGCGTGCATGATGGTGGAGAGAGACGGACAAATGGACAGAGCGAGCAGACGGAGCCAGGCAGTAACTCTCTGATTTACCCCCGTCCCTCCTCCTCCTCCTCTTCTCAGTCCTTGTTCAGCTCTTGTTCTCTGCTAGCTATTCTGTAACCTCCCCTCCCTGCCTCACTCCCTCCCCTCTGGCAGACCCTCATCCCAAACACAGTGCAGCTGGGCTCAGCTGTCAATGTTCCCCCATACCGACCACCCCCTGTCCTGCCCTTTGTATTTCTTCGGATAGTGGTAGATTTGCCCTTGGCCCCCGCACGAGGGAGCCCGTTCCTGTTAGCTAGCCTCTTAAACCAAACCGTCTGCTCTTTGAAGTGGCCTATCACACAGATATACAGATCGGAGATTACAAGGCAGCTGCCTGCCTTCAATCTGTCCACTAACGTGAACACGGTGATTAAATAAAGGAAACAGCGTACACCTATGCAGACGCACAAATGGGACGCAGTGATCAGCAGAGCCAAGAAAGAGGTCGGGCTCGCAAGTCTGTTTTTGTTCTGAAGGCTGGAGAAATGAATGAGACTTTGCTTTGTCTCAAGGGAGGGACGAGGGCTTTCTTTGATATTATCAAGCCCAGGGGTGGGGAGAGTGCTCTGCCAAGAAGAACTGCTATTCACACCAACTTGTCGGCATGGGACTTTTGAAGCATTTGTCAAAAGAGGGATTTGGCAGAGAAGCACTAGAGTTTTGTCATTCACAACCTGCTCTCTTCTTTGGGATGACAATACTCGCAGCAGGCTGCAGCTACCTCTGTGAGGGAGGAGAGATGAAATTCCACAACCCCATTTCCATTTAGCGAGGAAATTGTCCCCCACACCACCCCCTTTTTTTTTCTTTGCACACAAGAGAATACAAACCAGGTCTGTGATCAAAGCTGCATTAACCTGATATTACTGTGACAGACAGTCTCTTCTGTGTGCTTGTCGGTGTTTATCTGTGGTCGGTGAAGAGAGTTTTCCACATTCCTTCTTAAGGGTTTGATGGAGTCCTGCGTCACATTCCTGCTTCACTCTGTCCTTGACTGTGTGTGTGGGAGGTCCAGGGCAGTGTAGCTGTCTGATGCTTTCATGGCTGCAAGAGGATCAAGCTATTTTCTTATCATTGCTGTGGAAACTGGAAACTTGGCCTCTGTCTTATCAGGACAGTTGTTTTGGTCCGTTGTTTTCGCCTCGCTATTGTCAGACAAGCATGAATTAGAGGATTCACTTAGGTTGTTTCATCAGGAGTTCTTCTAACGTAAAACTCAACATTTTATGAGACGTCTTGCGTTCCTGTCACAGGCCGGTTCGCTGTTGACAACAGCTCCTGATGGATAGAGAGCATATCACTGGCAGGAAGTCTGCATCTCCCTTGATGTGGAGAAGCGTTAGGCTGGGTTGTGTCAGTGTTATTTGTGTGCCTCTGCAGGCCTGTATGCATATATGTGTGTGTGTGTGTGTGGGCATGCTCCAACTCCTGAGTGTGTTTACTTAACCTGTCTAGGCATTCGAAACCCCTGTCATTCTCCAGTGTGTCTGGCTCTCACAGTGACAGCTAGGTGGGACACCGCGCGTCGTCTAGTGTTTCATACAGTGCTTTATTGAGCGGATGAAAACCCTTTTTAACCCTTCCGCGGGCCTGAGAGGAGCCTCGCACACATATACAGTCATCCAGCATGCACGTACACACATGTGTGACTTTTAGATGACTTCAGGGGATAGGAGCTCTGAAAGGGGCTGACATTCTATCCTTTGAACCTCCACAGTTGATAGGGGCAGGACCTCGCCCTCTCCCTCCGCGAGTGCATGTGTGTGTTCACTGTGCATTTTTTTTTTGTTCTCTTGTGGGTTTGTACTCTGTAACCTTTCCAAAGATTAACCCTGGATGTCGATCATATTCCCCAGACATCTGCGAGAAGTCGAGACAGCGGTGCATATTGTGGCATGCTCGGATGATTTCGCCTGAGATGGCTTTGGCAGTAATTTCTGCGCATACAGTATCTCTCTAAACAAATACACATGACATTTAGCTATAGAAGGATGTACAGTAGCTCTTTTTTTTTTTTGTCTTTCTTGTGGTTCGCTACGGCATCATCAAAGACGCAGATCTTGTCTGGGATCGTCCAATCGCTGCTGGTGAGGCAGGAGGGAGGTGGGAGGGCGGCGGATGACTTTGACAAACCTAAAGGATGAAGTCAGCCCTCTGTACACCTCCAATGTTAAGACCTCTCTGTAGCTGTCAGTTAGACGGCAACGACACAAAGCAAACAAGATCCCACTCTAATAGTTTTAGACATGGGTGCGTGTGCTGGGTGTGGTTAGCAACAGTTGTCTGCCGCACACAGAGCCCCAATCTCGCCACGGTAGGATGTTTGTCTTTTGTAGGGATTAAAGAGATCCAGGAAACCCGCTGTCCTAGTTTTTTTCTGCAGAGCACAGAGAGGGCGACCTAGTTTTGATGATAGGACCAGGCCAGGAAGGAGATTCCAAGCCGTAATGTAGTTAAGAGGTGGCTGTTTTTGTCTCTCGGCGTACAGGATTGTTTTCTTTCGTCTGTTGACATGTTCCTATAGACGGGCCTCAGACTGAGTGTGTGTGAGAGACTCCATTGTCTGTGCAGAACCTGTAGCTGTAACATGAGAGGGAGAGAGTGCTGACAGCAGGAGGGAGAGTGTTACCGAGCCGAGCTGTGATGATTTTAGATTTAATACAAAGCCCTTTAGAGTGCATTGAACTCTCGAGCTGACTTCTGCAATATCACTTAACTTCTGTGCTTAATTATGCATGCAAACAACAGCAAGTCACGTAAGCTGGCACAGATATATTGAGCACATCAAACTGTTCTGGATGTGTACAGTCGATGCGTAGAGGGCTTAACCATCTAGATCAGTGGGTCAAGTGGCTGACATACTAATCCTATTGCTAGATGCGGCTCTGATTTGCTGAACTTGGCCCTAATCTACTGTCCTTTTTTACTTCCACACAGAGACGTAAGACCTCTGGGTAAACTGTCATTTTCTCAGAGGCAGTGAATTAGTTATATATATCTATGAAGTGCCAGATGTATAAAGTATATGCTCTGTATATCTCATAATGCAGCTGAAAAGTGGCTTTAATTGGAGCCTGCTGGTCAAATGCTCACTTCGTCTTTCAAACCACACCCCTCTAGTTTGCAGCACAGCCTATTAAATTTAAAGTCTCAAGCCCAAGCCAAGATAACCCTGACGAAAGCACCACAAGGGCGTCATTGTAATGCCCTTGTAGCGTGTTGTTACGCTGTGTAATAATTCGTCTTTCTCTGTCTCCTCTCTGCAGTGTCATCATGCATCACCACCTACAAAAAGACACCTCCCCCGGTCCCGCCACGAACCACCCCATCCAAACCTCTCATATCCATCACGGCCCAAAGCAGCACCGAATCCGCCCAGGATGCGTACATGGACGGGGGCTCCGGCCCTCGGACGGGCATCAGCTCCCAGCCGGGCCTGTCCAACTCCACGGAGAGCATCGACAGCATGAAGGCCCTGACGGCGGCCATAGAGGCAGCTAACGCTCAGGTGCACGGCCCTGCGAGCCAGCATGTCACCAACAGCACCATCACCATCACTGCCACCGCCACCACCTCCGCCGTCGCACACGTCTCCGCCGAAAGCAAGGCACAGAGGGAAGCGCTCCGCAAGTGCCTCTCCATAGGGATCCAGGTTTGTGGGTCAGCCCAAGTCTCAGTCAGACTACAAAACTCTGGCTTGCAGTTTGACAGCTTCTCCTCTTGTCTCAGGTGGACCCAGAGGAAGGAGAGCCCACAGAGGAGCAGTCCAAATTCCAGTCGATAGGAATTCAGGTGGAGGATGAACGATGGTGAGTCGACACAAAGAGAGAACGAGCACGAGGTTGTAAAAGTGAAACTGGATAAGTGTGAGGGGAGGGATGAGCGGGAGATAGCGGGAACAGAACTTATGGAAACAGAGGGAGGTTTGTAGTGTGCACTACAAGCTTTCGCCCCCCTACATTAGCTTCACCACAGCAGCTGTCCCCAGTTCAGGGGAGGCTGGCGTCAGAGCCCCCTCAGCCAGAGGGCCCCAAGTGACAGCTGGGCCAGAGGATGTGGTGCAGGGAGCTGGGAAGGTGGAGGGGGTGAGTTGACAGCCATCTGTTGCTCCAGTCATTGTGATTCAGGCTACTTTGAGGCTGTGTGTTTGTGTATGTGTGGGAGGGAGGGAGAGAGGGAGGGGGAGGGAGGGAGTTTTATTGGGTTTGTTTAGTTCTGAGAGAGACTGCTGTGCTGTCAGCCACAGTCTTTCATTCTGCAACATGTTCCCAGTTTGAGGAGAAGCGGCCTAGTGTGCACTCTGTTTCATTAGCTCACATCGCACCAAACTTTATCAAGGACACAGGCGTTTCTGGCCTCTCTGTCAGCTCTCAGTCACCCTGTCAATACACTGACCTTGCGTTCGGTGAGGGAAGCTGACCACTTTAGTCACAGTAATGGTTTTTCCACCGGAGTCAAGGTGTGCTTCTGGAATTCAAAGGCACATCAGCATTAATCATAGGTCACAGAGAGCACCGAGTCCAGCACTTTGAAACTTTCACAGTGTCAGGGAATGTGAGGGGATTTCTGAAAGAGGAGGTCTCAGCTGACTGACCAAGCTCTGAGTTCCATGAGTCGCCAAGCCAAATATTAACTCATCCAGACACCTTGTAGTCCGCCGAGGCTTGGATGGATGTTATGCAGCACTGCAGCCTGCACTATACTCTGGTTAATGTTCAGAGGAGGTTGGACGGTATTTTTGTTGGTGCATGCTCGATTGTTTACCTGCTGGCGTGCATCTGTACCGGCCTATGCATGTGGGTGTGTGTGTGTGTGTGTGTGTGTGTGTGTACACCTGGGAGGTCTGGGCATGCTGCCCCCTACGTTAGATTCCCAGACAGTGAGAGTGCCAAACTCCTGCAGCCTTGCTCCAGTGGGTCCGTTTCTGTGTGGGAGTGTGTGAGTGTCTCTGTGTTTATACGCAGCCATCATAGGTCATAACCTCACTGTGCTGTTTGAACTGGGATTAACTGAGAGGGAGTGGAAAATAGCTGTAGCATAGATGAATGCAGCAAATAACAAGCATGTCTTTACACAAACTTTACACAGAGGAAGCTGGTTTTATCATATTTGTTTTCTCTTTTATTTGATTGTGACTGTACATTGAGGAAACCACCATTATCTAAACATGCAGCCAAACGCGGCAAATAAACCGTGATTTACAAATAGGATCAAATTTGATGGATTCTTTAATGTGTTCTAAATTTTTATGGCCTTACAAGTGAAGGTTTAGGCATGTTGGTCACCAGATGGCTTTGCAGTCACAGGAGAAATGGAACATTGCTCATGGTCGTATAGTGACTAAACCATATGCACATCCATCTTGGAAAGTCCGTTAAAGGGACCGCTAGACCTCCCGGGCTTTTTGTTTTTGTCCTAACTAACTGAAGCAAGAGCAAAAAAAACCCAAAAAAAAACAAGAAGCCATGTGTGCAGATGTAACTGTTGAAACGTCAGCTTGTGGTGCGCACTAGCATGACGAGCTGTGGAGTCATCCAGCATACCTGTTTCGCATTTCTGACGTTTCTTCTTGCAATCAAATGAGGCATTATAGACGCATCAGCATTTCCTCTTGTTTGTGGTTTGAACCAAACTCTCTGCAGATAAGAGATCACTAAGACTTCAAAACAGAGAGCCATTCTGAAAGCAGCAGCACGTGGAATGCAAGACTCCGCCTCTGTGGTGATTTACAGCGTTCCGTCACATGAATGTCAAAAAAAACATGGACATTCTGCGTTTTTACTTGCTCCTGCATACTTTCCTCATATTTTACAGTCCCTCCTCTCTCCCTCACGTTGACATTTTCTTCCTAAATGCCCTTGTTCTTGTTCTTTTGCGTCCTGTCTATTGATATGTCTGTGTATCTGTCTGGGCCGTGTTTGGCCTTGCCTGTCTCTGCCCCTGCAGGAAGTTGTTAGCAGCCTGATAGAAAGCAGGCTGAGGTCATTAGAACTGAACACCTGCTCGGAGGAGTTACACTTTAACTGCTCTTCACACACACTCACACACACCAGGCTGCTGGTATGTACACATCAAGCCCATACACACTCTGTTTGATCTACCCGATGCCACTCCCTTGTTCTTGCTCTCTCTCTCTTTTTTTTTTTTTTTTCCACCATGTTCACAGAAGGGTAGAGATGAATGAGAAAAGGGGAAGTAAAGATGAATGGGTGAGGAGGAGTAAGCGGCCGGAGATGAGCTTAGGTGACGGAGCTGCGATCGTTTGTGTGTGTCATCCTGCAGGCCGGTCAAGCTGAGGCTCATGTGTGAGAGTGTAGGCATGTTTAATGTGCAGCTAACCGGCTGGCGCTGCAGAAATCATCAAACATGTGAATCTAATTGTGTCTAAAAGTCGGATAAGGCATGTTTGCTGTATCTGAATTCCCAAGTTTGCCCGAGGACATTTGCGTTGAGCTTAAATGGGCGTTAATGAGCTTTTATTTGCTCTTTCTTTGTATTTTTGGAGCCATTGTCCATGCTGGCTTTTAAGTGCATTTATCAAAGTGTGTTGCTTGCTTTTTAAGTGGCTCAGTGAGCAGCTACATTTTTGTATGTGTTAATAAGTTATGTGCTGTGAGCCTTGTACCACTTTGAGCTGTAATCTTGTCCAATCAGTGAGCAGTTAGCCAGCCAATCCGTCCTCCCACACCCCTCCCAGCATCCCGCAGCACAGCGCCCGCGTCCCTCCAGCGTCCCATTCATTACAGGGGTGGTGAGAACGTAGCCAACTGTGTGTGTTTGTCGGTGTGTGTGTTGATTTAATCTTTGCACGTGTGTGTCTGTGTGTGCATGTCTGCTGTTGCTGCTGTAGCGTGGAGGGACTTGGCAAAGGCTGCACAACAGCGGCACAAAGTTTTTTTGAGCCAAATACGACATGGCACACCCAGCTGTAGAGAAGGGTCCCAGGTGTGTATGTTTGTGAGTGTGTTGTCGTGCACTTCTACTGTTTGTGTATGTGCATCAGCCCCCGGAGCAGGGCTTGTGGTGCGACAGCCGACTGCACACTCTGTTGCTTCTGAATGAGCCAGGTGACAAAACACGCGCACAAAAGACACTACAAAAGCTATTCATCACTATCGGTGATGAGATTGCTGTGATCATAATTTCAATTTGTCACACTGGGAGCACCTCCAGGAGCTGTGTGTAAATAATACCATAATTACTGATGAAAGGAAAACGCTAATAAACTAACGTAAAGTCTGATCTTTAACAGGTGAAAAAGCGACTAAACCTCGCTCTTGCGTCCTGTCCTAGTTACCGCAGGATGACCCGCTCCAACAGCGTCACCACAGCGGTGCAGGCCGACCTCGATAACCCCACAGACGCCCCAGAGCTGCCACCTCGTCACTGTGCCACCATGCCGCGCCAGCACTCTCGCGATGCCGGCTCTTCCACCGTCAGCATCCAGGGCTCTGGAAACCACTACCACGCCTGTGCTGGAGACGACTACGGAGACGTGGGCTTTGACCCGTCCATCCTGCCCCCTCCTGACCCCTGGATGGACAGCGTGCCCGAGCCAGAGGTGGAGGCCCTGGAGGCCGTCGGGCGATCGGTGTGCCCCCGCGACGGCCGCTGGTTCCTCAAGCTGCTGCAGGCTGAGACGGAGCGAATGGAGGGCTGGTGCAGACAGATGGAGCAGGATGAAATGGAGAATGAGCTGCCTGATGAGAGTGAGTCGAATCATCAGGTTTAAATGTGATAATGTGAAGACAAGAACGTCTGTTGTACAGTGATATTAGCTCTGTTTTTCATCCTCCTCTCCTCTGCGCTCCTGATTCGGAGGGTGCTGGTATTCATGGTATTGGACCACAATAGCTGCTTGTTCCTGTCTCAGGCCCTCTGGCCTCCACAGACATACCGTGCATACTTATCAATAGGCCGCTGCTGGCTCCAGCCACACATGTGTCCTCTAGACACACTGTATAATGATCTCTCACACAAACAGAGTTCTCTCAGTGCTCCTTCAAGGCAACTATTTGATTTTCATGTAGCACACATACACACGGAGCAGTGCTTGTCTGCATGAGCACGTCTAAATATGTTTTACACACATACACCCACACTGACACGCCAGACTGAGCAAACACGCCTCAGGCAGCAGGCACTGTATTTATACCTGTCCTTACTGCGCAGCTTATTTCATGTGCTACTGAAAACGTCATTGCTTATGCAGCTAGCGTTGTGCTGTTATGGTTCCAGGCAAGAGATTCTCTCACAGAACACGAAGAACAGGGAGGCTGTCTCAAGGTTATGTTTTTCCAGATCCCACACTACCATGCGCGCACACACACACATGCACATAGACACGCATCCTGAAGGGGTTGAGGACTTTGTGTCTGTAATACAGATTCATTATTCTCCCTGTCAGTTTCTGATTGCATGTGGAGTAATGTATGCACTGACGGTTACATTCCTTTGGGATGTGCTGTATGAGAGAATAGCAGTGGAATCAGGTTATACAGTGCAGCCTTCTTTAGCTCATATATCAGCTGGCCAAACAGACATTGTAAAAGCAATACATCTCTATAATTAGACTTTAGCTTGATTTGACGACAGCAAAAACATTTTTGCACGTACTATAAATGTGGCATTTTGTCTTCACTAAATTTCTATTTTTAAAAGGAAATTCTTTGCATTTCAGTAGTTATTCCGCTCACCTAAATAATTCCTGCTCCTGAAAGCCACATCTAAAACAGAATCCTTCTCTTTTTTTTTCTTTTTGTTGCATTACTAATGCACCTCCTCTGTTAGTGGTGCAACATGCCTGCAGTATGCGGTTCTGTGAGTAATTGCATTGTGAACTGTGTGCGTGTGTGCATGCATGTGCGTCTCTGTCTTTCTGCAGTCCTGGGGAAGATCCGCAGTGCAGTGGGGAGTGCCCAGCTGCTGATGTCCCAGAAGTTCCAGCAGTTCCGGGAGCTGTGTGAGGAGAATCTGGTATGTGTCACCTCATCCTCTGCATGCTCCCCCAGCCCTCCCCCTCCACGCTGACATCATCCTGCACAAATCACTCTGACAGGCCAGGCCGGCAGTCGTTTACTGAGCTTCTAGTACAGACATCACATCTTTGCCATCTTTCACGTATTAAAAAAAATGATCTTTTTGAGTGAAAGCAAGCGCCTGAGAAACACAGACTTCAGAATCAGATGTGCACAGCTGCACGTCAAAATTATATACCCGTTGTTATACTGTATGCGCATTATATAACAATAAGAGCAGCCATTTACAAACACACAAATTCAGCCTTTGAATAAATAGTTACCTTAAAAACATTATTATTAGTGATCCAATAAGAATACAACTTATAAACTAGAACGTGTTTATATTTATATTAATGCACCATTGAATAGAGGAAGGCTATCATGACAAAGTGACTTTTTTTTAAAACCACAGTCGATGTACGATTCAAAACAAAGACTAATAAAGAAGTCAAAGGCAGAGTCTGGATTCACGCCCAGCACTCCCACGTATCACAGTATGATGTCAGTTCAGTGTCATTCCAGTTGCAGTTCAGCTTGGCATTTAACTCGAAGCCAGTTTTGTGATTTGAGCAGCTGCTTTAAAACTGAATCATCACACAGCAACTGCATCTCTCCAAACATCTGTGATTAGCATATAAACAGTATGTGTTTGTATGTGTGTCTTCATGTGTCCATTTGTGTATATGTGTGATGTTTGTGTACCAGAACCCAAATGCACACCCGCGGCCCATCTCGCAGGACCTGGCGGGTTTCTGGGACATGCTCCAGCTGTCCATCGAGAACATTAGCCTGAAGTTTGATGAGCTCCACCAACTCAAAGCCAACAACTGGAAACCTCTGACTCCCCCAGAAATTCAGGTGCAGACGCACATGGCGAATATGAGACTCCATTTTTAAACGATCAAGTGACCTAACCTCAGTATTGTTCTGGAATGCTTCACTAACCCGCATGTTAGCTGCTGTCATTACTGTACACTTTCAATGATAAGTCCAAATGATTCACAGTTAGGCTTTGTTGTAGCATGCAGACACGTGTTGCATACTGTCATGTTGCCTGCCTGACGCCACCACTTGTATTTGTGTGTTTTGTTCTGTCTTGTTGTCGACAGTGAGCTGCTTTTGAGAAGCTTCTCTACCTGCCATGCACCGTTGGGGCCTGTCCATCTCCAATGGTCTTTTACCTCACGCAATGGCCACCATCGTGCTCTCTTACCCCCCACAAATGGCTGCCACTGTGAACCATAACCTCATTCAAAATTGCATGCTCTGACATTTTGCCGGCAACAGCTACACCGCTCTTTCTAACCCTTATATGCAAACTGGCTGCAGTTGTGTCGCTCGTCATTGTGTTTTAGCTGCAGCTTGCCATGAGGACTCAGTGGTCTGTCTTTAAGACTATTTGTCATTCCTGTCCAGGAGAGAAGGATGCCCCCTCCTGTGCCAAAGAAGCCCCAGAAGGGCCACCCTCCCCTGGCTAGGGACCGCTCGCTGGAGAGCTCTGAGCGCCAGCGTCTGGAGGCTCGCAAACGCCTGCTAGCTGCCAAACGTGCCGCGTCGGTTCGGCAGAGCTCTGCTACCGAGAGCGCAGACAGTATCGAGATCTATATTCCTGAGGCCCAGACCAGACTATGAGACACATAAACACATGTACCTACACGATACATTGTCCCATAAACACAAATAGCACTGAATGGTAAGGCTAGGGTGCTACAACACAGCATAATCACATTTTTTGCAGACTCCCTAGATCACTGTGGGGTCAGTCACGATGGAAGCTGTCTGAACAAGAAATGTACATTCACAATATTTATTTATTTATTTATCTGTCTCCCCTTCCCCTCGTTTTCCTCCTCCCAGCTTTGATGTAGCACTCCCTCTTTTCCTCACACCTGCCCCTCACCCCCTAAGAAGTCTCCTACGAATCTCCCTCCTCCCACCCTTTTTTTAAAGTGACCTAATATTACAAAGTAAGCCTGGTGTAGCACAGCAGTGATGCTTCACATCAATGTGTTTCAGGAGCTGAGGACACAGAGGGAGCATGCATGTGCACGTGTGTGTGTGTGCGCGTGCATATGTGTGTATGTATAAACATGCAAACACACGTAGTCACAGGTGATGTATTCGATCTGATCTGCTCAGGTCGATACATCAGATCAAAGGGAGAGGCCACACGCAACCCAGACCCATTGACTTGATATTTATGAAGTTGATTTTTATATTTTTAGTATAAAAAAAATTCTATATTGGATTCTGAAAGTATTATAATCTCACAAGTTTACGCTTTGCATAATGAGGTCAAACACCTAATGGGAAAAAGACCAGAAGAGGCAATTAAAGTGTCATCCGGTGACACAGTCGCCTTCCGTCTGACGGGTCTGTCCGGTGGCCAGAGGTCGACCCCGTACGAAAGGTCGAGAGGTCAGATTTTTTTTGCTCCTCCAGGTGAGGCAGGGCGGCTGCTGAGCCAGGAGCAGGCCTCTGCAAAGAGTGCTGAAAGGATCACTGTTCTAAAATGCCACAAACCTAATCTTTGTGTGTGTGTGTGCAACAGAAAAGAGAGAGAGTGTGTGTGTTTGATTCAAATATATGTTTCAGAAGTGCTTCCTATTTTTCTAGGTCTAAACAGTCCTAGTTCTAATTAATGACTAAGGTAGCAGTATCAATAAACTGTAAACAAAACACCCATCTTGTCTCATTTGAAACTGAGCAACACATGTTTGTATAAAGGACATGTATAACGCCATGACGTGCATGCTCACACAAGGTACTCTTTTTGTTTTTGTCTTTTTTTAACAGGTTTATGCCTAACTCATGTTGTGTTCAGACTTTTTGGTGACGCTAAAATACTGATATTTGGTACAATACTGGTAGTTGTACTATATTTTATTATGTCATTTTTAGACAAGAAAGGTTTATTGACAGTATTGAGACTACAGGACTGAAAAGGGACTATTTCTCCTCACTGTGTGTGCACTATCTCTGCCTCCAAATGAAGCAATTATTTGAAGGTCATACGGAAAAAAAGAAAAAAAAAATCCAGTTTCTAATATTTTGTATTCATGTTTAATTTATTGATTAGGAGAACAATGACTGTTTATTGACATTGTGATTATTATTATGCACTGACAACAAGGCCCTTATACTGTGTTTGTGTTTTATTTATGTTCTTTAGCATGACAGGCACCTTTTTTTTCTTTCTTTTTCTTTTTCCGTTTCAGTGATCAGCCTTAATTTCTAATACGATAGTCGAGCACAACAGCAGTCTCAGGGGAAGAAGTGTGTCGAGTGCGTGTTCGTGTGTGTGTGTGTGTGAGAGGCTCGAGAGGTGAGAGAAAGTGACTTCATGTGACCGTGTGTGACCCATGGCTTTGCCTCTTATTGTATATAACCCCCTGCCATCAGGATAGGCCATGATCTTAAATATAGGAAACCGTGTCCATGCCATCTTCTAGGCGATGTTCCTGTTGAACGTCGCAGCCCTACTTACTTCAGCGTAACAAGGTATTTCTGTCAGCTGCTTGAATGTGGAGACAATCCTGAGCCGGTTTTATTCGGTCACTTATTTGTTTTGATAACAGAAATAGCAGGACTTTGGTGTGTAGTCCAACTCTCTGTATTAAATCTGGAAATATTTTGTGCCATTGGATGACTATAGGCAAGGATACAGTAATATTCCTGCTATTTGTCCCTGTTGAACAGCTACCTGAAGTTCTCATCGAGAGACGTCTGTTAGTGAAGGATCTCAAGTGATGATGTAACCGTACAGTATGATTTGTATTTCCTTTAGTCGGTCGATATAAATTTTAGAGAGGGTGCATATAACAATAGTTCAAACTTAATGCCATTTTACGTAGATTGAAGCTCATTTTAGTATTTTTACTTTGGAACTTGTATTTGAATTGAATTGTCTGTCAAATGATTGATTCTTTATTTATGTTTTATTATATTAACATATCAATATAACACTCCTGGTATAGCAGGGAGTTAGAAACCAGAATGTTGGATTGTGGTTAAAAATTTAAAATACACTCCAGCAAATCCTGGCAAATTCTGAAGCTTGTGATGTAGTTATATTAAGAGAAAAACATTCAAATAAACATTTGTACATAAATGAATGTTTCCCTTATGTAAATGTAAACTAAAAAAAAAACAAAAAAAAAACCCAATCAAATAACATATTAAGCAGATATACATTTTGTATTTAATGTTATTACACTGTTGATGTTATGGCACGTGTATGAGCTCTTATCAGCATTAAAAAGAAAAAAAAAAAAAAGAAAGAAATATCATTGCCATAATTTTGTTGTGTTCATTTCTTTCCCGTCTCCACATGTGTTTTCAATTGGAATATAATTAAACAGATTACAAGGCTAGCGTGGTGTGTTTTTAGGGCATTTCCCTTCCGCAGGGGCGCGTCCCCATAATTAGACAGCACTTTTGGCCTTGGCTTAGCCTTGACGCTCCTGTACATGCAGCTTCTGGTGATTTGTCATTCACACATCAGTCATGCTGAGGGGGAGGCACGCTGGTCTCGGTGGCCAGAGTTGGGGTTAAGGGGGTGTGTGTGTGGGGGGCGGGGGTGTCGTCTTTGTGCACGGCCTGGCCCTGGGTCAATCTACCCATCAGATGGTCCGCCGTGGTGGGCTGCAACTGTCTACTGTGTGCCTGGAGGTCTGTTTTAAACAGTTATTAGCGATTACATCATACAGATTCAGCCCAGCCCCCCGCCACGAGACCAGAGCTGTCACTTTTGACAGAAAACATGTGACCAAAGGTGGAAAAATGCATTCTGAATGCTTGCTGGTGACTGGCAGGGGCAGCTCCTGACACTGACAAGGCAATAAGTAAGCAAGATTTTTCAGCTGATTATTTTGCTGCTGCCTTTTAGAAAACTTTGATCCAAACCAGTGGTGGGAGAAGTATTTAAATCTTTTACTAAAGTCAGTGTAAATATAAGTTTAGGTAAAAGTCTTGCATTAAAATAATTCTTTAAAAAAGTACTTTATGCATTTAAAAAATAATAATAATAATAATACTCAGCATTATATTATATATTTTATATTATATATTTTATGATTTAATATAATATTAACTAAATAATTTAGGTGGAAGCAGACTTCTTTACAGCTATAGTTGATCAAACGCTTCTGAATTTAACTATTTATTATATATTTTTTACTAATTACTGTATTGTTTTTATCTCATATTGACATGTTTTTATATTATATAATTTTAAGTATATCTGCATTTAATGTCATGTAGATGAGGGCTGTCCCTCAATGTGTTCTCCAAAGTTTAAAAAAAAGAAAAATCACTTTATATCTAATAATAAAACACAATTGTTTGCACATAAAACCATTGTCTAGTAATGTTTAAGTAACTCTAGCTGTGAAATAACTGCAGTGGAGAAAAAAGGACAATATTCCCTTTGAAATGTGGTAGAGAAAAGCTATAAAATGGCCTAAAATTGAAATACAAGCACTTGATTATTTATTTAGCTTCCATCAATGGCCTCAGTTGTTACATATTATAGGTAATTGATTAGAGAACATCAGCTAGATCACATAATTAGAGCTCATCTTTATAAGGATAAAAGAGCGCTCCTATTTATTCTTATCGAATCAGGAAAATAAACTGTTGTCTGCCTTCAGAGGAGAATATAATAAATGAAAGGGTGCCTGTCTTAGCAAATATAGACAACAAATCCTGTTGAGGCCAATAGAGAAGCTTTAAGTCTGCAGAAGAACCAGAAGGGAACAGCTGTCTGCCTCCTCTTCCAACGAGCCAACGTACTCGGTTGTAAGCTGCCTTACATTGACTCTATTGAGACGTAGACACACATAAAACCCCGCTGGCAAGAAACTGTTGACGTCTGCTGTTTGCCCGTGTTAATTTATGCAGGATTATGCTAATTCGCAGGAGCTGTTGTAAACCTCTCACACACAGGAATGCCTCTGAATGCCTGTGGAAAAGACATGAACGCCACGCTATTTCTGTCCTCCCGTATTCCCGTCTTTTATTTACCGAACATTCTAGCTCAATACACTCTTCTCATCCTTAAGGGATAAATCTGTAATCTTGGCAAAGTTCAGCAGGATTTACAAGAATACAGCCTGTATAAATGTGCGTTAGAGTTAAGTGATCTGAAGGAGGGAAAATACTCGAATTAAAAAAAAAAAAAAGATCAATTCTGAGATGTAGAAAAACAAAACTTTATTTGAATCCCATGTGACCCCTTTTTGCCACAAACATTGCACAGTATGAAAAGAAATCACATCATTGGGCATCATGTCACATTAACTATACACATGGTCCTATTATACATGAAAATGCTTTTTTTTTGGTGATTTCAAAAAATGCTGTCTTTTGTCAGGTTGTAAAACAGCAAATGCAGAAAAAAGACATCTGTAGTGTTTTAATTTTCCAGTCCACTGGCCGTCGTTTTCGCTGAGTGATGGGATGAAGGCTCAGACTAAGAACCTGCTACATTGGTCATCTGAAATATCCCTTGGTGGGGAGATAAGAGTAACAAAAAAAAAAAAGCATAGAGGTTTTTTTTTTTCCTTTTAAAATAGCTAAAAGTAAATTACAAAATCAAAAACTATACTCATGAAACACAAACATTTACTACAGTAGTGAATAAGTTTGTCATAGATGCCAAGAGCAAAGTATGTTTAAGACACTGAGATGACCTTCTTCTGCCTTTAGTGTGCAAACAAACGAGGCAGACCAATCATGAACTGATCTCTGAAATGCTAAACAGTAAACGTGTGTGGGTGCGACCAATCCCGTCCGATTGGTCCGTGAAGGAAGACTGCTCCATCCTCTACTATGATATACAGTATAATGGAAAGACATAAAGACAGGCAGCATTTTTCTGATAACATTTTTGGTCCCTGTGTGCAAATAAAATACACATGTAGATACATACGCATGTATATGAAATGAATAAACAACTTACAGCCAAGGCACCTCGATACAGTTCTTTTTTTTTTTTTTCTTTTTTCAATAAAAAAACAATCCTCATCATATTGATTGGTATACCAAAAATAGAAATGATCAGGCTTTTCGTGTGGATTTGTTCTCTGTTTACGTGCAGACAAAGTCACCGGGACCGAGGAGTCGAGACGCAAAGTCAGTCTCTCCTCTTCTGTCACTTTCTCCTTCCTTTAGGAGACCAGCTGTTTGGCTTGCAGCTCCATCTCCGCGGCCCGTTTGAGGGCCACGTCCACCAGGAGCTGGAAGCCGCTGAAGTCTTGTGTGAGGTCTGGAGGGGTGGGGGGAGGGGTGTTGAAGAGCCCGCTGCGGGGGCTCAGGTTGCCCTCCATGCTGCTGCTGCCGAGGATGGTGGTAGTGGTGGGGAGCGGCTGGCTGCCCGGCCCTTCTTCCCGGCACCGGAGCAGCGCCTGAGCCTGCACGGACTGCAGCAGCTCGGCCGCCCTCTCGCAGTTCATTCCCGGCACGGAGGGGTGGGGGGCGGTCGGGCTGGCTTGCATTGCTGTGGTGACAGTGGTGTGACAGATGACGGAGGGCCGGGTGGGCATGAGCCCTGGAGAAGGGGACGCCGAGGTTGGAGAGGGTAGGGACGGGGACGCCGCCTTCCTCAGGACGCCGGGCGTGGCGGGTTCGAAGCTGGAGGGGTGGAGGACGCGCTTGTCGTAGCTCTCCTCCGTACCTGCCGCCGGGCTGCTGTGTTTCGGGGACTGGGAGCTGTCGGAGAAGCTGTCGCCGGCCTTGCTACCTTTCCTGGAGATGGTAAACTGGTTTGGGTCTTTGCCATCTTTCCTCAGCATCTCTGGCAGAAGTCGCCGCCGTGCATTAATGAACCAGTTGCACACCTGGAAAAGAAAACAACAAACATCCCCCCGCCGTGAGAAAGCTGCATCGCATGGCTCGGCTGCGTTTGTGTCGTGCGATTTGAAAGAAAATCTGGCTGGTGCGTGTATCCCCAGGTGTAGCATATGTTTTCAATAGAAAAATCAAAATGAAACCCGGCCTATCACACACTGATATTTCACACCACAGGCTGTGTATTTCACACCGTTAGTATTTCCTGTTTTTCTCATTACAGCACTACAGAAAGGTGAAAAGCAGACCTCAGAAATTTAGGCCAAAGTTTATTATGGCACCTCAAACTATCAGCTAAACATTAACTTTCTTCACTAGTTTGGGACTTCTTAATCCTGCATTTATAAGGAGTTTTCTATAAAAACTAATCTCCTTTGTCAGCAGTAATCACGGTCATCTCTCTTCTTTTTTTTCCTCAGTCCTCCAGGCTAGTCGTAACTGGCTCAGGGAGGCTTGTAGCTCTAACTATGTAAATGACTCTGCATTGTTCCCAGACAGCTGGGATGGAAAGGGGCTAGAGGGAGGGAAATTCCTGTCCAAGCGCCTCAGCCAAGCCCACAGCACACAGGGAGTGAGTTTACTCACGTTGTCTCATAGACTTTTATGTTGCAACATCAAGCTGGTTTGGATGACCTTCAATTCACTGTTTATGTGTCATGTTTTGTTTGCCATCCAGCCAGGAAATGATTCAGTCAAGCTGACACTCGTTTCCTCCCGACTTTTACAGTGGTCTGTTTACACTCTAAGGGGTTTACTGGCAGCTTTAGGCTTAGGTAATCGCAACTTTTTCTGTCACATCTGTGCGCGTACCTGCAGTGTGGAGAGCTGAGTCTGCTTGGACAGGAGGGCTTTCTCCTGCTCCGAGGGGTAAGCGTTGTAACGGTGCTCGTACAGCCAGTCCCTGAGGATCTGGACCGACTCCTTGGGCAGATTCCCTCGCCGCTTCCTCTTCCCGTTGCTCCCGCCGCTGGACGACAGGTCCAGAGGGGCGTCCACGCTGTCTTCGTCGTCTGTCTCGCTCCCTGACAGCATCATCAAACCTGTATGGAAAGAGGGAGGGGGGGAGAGAGTGTGTGAGAAAACAGGACAAAGGAGAGAACACAGATCCTCTAAAGTCAGCTACCCTCCCGTCTTCGGCATCCCGGCCGCCGTGTGCCGCAGCCGTTTAACCAAAAGCTGTCTGGGAGGCAGCTGATGTGTCAGAAGCAAGCTGTCAAGTTCAGCCATGTGATTCATATAAGGAGCGAGGAAGGGAGGGAGGGAGGAGGGAGGAGGAAGGAAGGAGGGAGGAGGGAGGGAGGGAGAGAGAGAGGGAGGGCGGCGGCGGAGGTGGGGGGGACGTCACAAAGGCTGGTCTGATGCTGTGTCAGTTATAAAACCTGCCTCAACAAATACAAGCCAGGTCTACTCCACAGAAACAATCACTTGTTTAAAAGGCAGATTTTATTTT